CCACACCGTCGACAGGAAATTTGGGGAGCACAGCAACTGGAAAGAAACCAGTAGCCAGTTTCAGACTGGACATGGACATTGTGAAGATGTGCGGGCACAGAACCCATTTCAATACCTCTCACCACATATTCGCCATCACAGGCAGACTCAGCACTCAGGGGCAGGGCACCGGCAAGGATGAATGACTGTGAGCCACCACTGTCTCGCAACACCGTGACCTGCCGCTGGTCCTCCACCTTTCCTGACAGAGAGACAAAGGCAGTAGAGATGAACGGTTTCAAACACTCATCAGGCCCTTTGTTAACAGTGCCACTAGTCCACTAGGACACACTGCTGTAACCAAACCCACCCCTTCCGGGCGCTTGCCATCCACTGTCTGCTTTCTCTTCCAAGCTGCACAGTAAGCTATCCTATGACCTGGGTCAAGACAAAAATAACAAGCTCTGTTTATCCTGGTACCTAACAATAGAACACTGGCACAGGGAACGTAATTGTCAGGAGCTCTACGATAAGTGTCCCGCTGAGGAGGATCACGCTGAAAAAAAACGCTCTTGTGTATCAGCGCAAACTCGTCTGCCAGAGTGACAGCCTGCTGAAGGGTAGTCACTTTCTGCTCAGTCAAATAGACTACCGTACGCTCCGGTACACAGTTTTTAAACTCCTCTAACATTATCAGCTCACACACTGAAGCAATGTCATCCGCTTTACACGCTCTACACCACCTGTCAAAGAGGACTTTCTTCTCCCTCGCGAAGTCCACGTACGTTTGGCCAGAATTTTTCTTCAGGCTGCGAAAACACTGCCTGTAGGCCTCAGGCACAAGCTCATATGCCCTGAGAATAGCACCTTTAACCTTCTCATACACCAAACTATCCTCGACAGAAAGAGAAGAGCAAGCCGCTTGAGCCTTGCCGACTAGCTTGCACTGTAAAAGAGTAGCCCACACATTTTCTGGCCAGTGCAGAGCAGCAGCAATGCGCTCAAATGCACCAAAATAGACTTCCACCTCTGATTCACGAAACACAGGGACCAAAGAAATATGCCTGCTCACGTCAAAGGAGGCAGCAGGACCAGAAGGTGTAACTGCAGAATCACCCACCACAGCTGCTTGGAGCTCTAGCTGACGCATCCGGACAGCAGTGTCCGCCTCCAACTCCAACTTCCTGATCTCCAGCTCCTGCTTCCTGATCTCCAGCTCCCACCTGAGCTGAAAATCCCTATCTCGCTCCTCCCTCTCACACTGGAGACAAGCCATACGCACTTTTACCTTAGCATCTAATTTAGACCCCGTAGGTGAGGATCCTGCCGAGAACGAGCCAAACTGAGGTGTGGTGAAAAGTGTTGCCTGTTCCGTAGCACTCTGAACACCAGGAGTAACACCAATGCGGCCTCCACCATGAGATACTGCTGCTACAGCCCCGGCCACCGTGCCAGGAGATTCCACTAAAGTAGGCCGACTCAAAACCCCCTGTTCAACTAGTCCAGTTAGCAAAGTAGCCTTGAGTTCACTTTTAACAAGAGCAGAGGAGACAGAAACGTGATAATGGTCAGCAACTAACCGCAAATCAACCTTCCTACAGCAGTCTAGCTGACCCACAGTAGGACTGGCCACAAACTGCTCCAAAACAAAAGCCATCCTTAGCAACGGCTACTTACAAATATATATATATTTTTAATTATTATTATTATTATTTTTATTTATTTTTTTACAAACTTCCCCAGATCCTGCCTACCAAACTTACCTAAATATCTTCTGGGGCGTGCCGGGCTCGAGGCGACTTTAAAGGCAAACATCAGCGGCCGAAACCCTGAATCGCCTGCCCCCAACAGGGAATAAATCCCCACCCAGGATTACCCCGAAAATAAAAGGCAAAATAAAAAATGAGTGCCTGAAGGAAGGACTGATTCAGCCCAGCTAGACACTCCCCTGTCTAAACTGAGGAAGTCAATGCTACCAAACACACTAAACCACAAACAAATACTCACTCTTTTTCTGAAAGATTGGACGAGCCCCCATGTTACGTTCCCTTCTAAATCTAGGGGGTACAAAGGGAAGTAACAACACACAAGGATGACCAAGCACGACAAAAGGAGAGAAAACCGATCTCTGAGTAACGAACAAGTCGTTTAATGAACACAACAGGAACACGGGCTCACCAGCCAACTTGCACAGAATAATACAGCATCAATATATATCACGGAGCTCCCCTCCTATCAATCGGCAAGACACAGGTCTGCACACATGCAGCCAGAGGAGGAAAAAAGGAGACCCCGCTGCAGTCTTCCTCCGGTCCTATATGGAGGCCCTGATTAGGAATTAGGAGCACCTGGGGAGAGGCTGCACCTGGGGACAATCAGGCTGCACCTGGGGAGTCAGAGGGAGAGAGAGAAAAACACACACACGACCACACAAACACTACGGCACGTAACACTTCCCCCCCATAAAACCAAACAAGTGTTTGGTCACAGTTACCAACAACACTCATTACATAGTTCACAAGCATACTATTGAATGCTTGGAAGCTGCCACCTGCTGAATAACAAATCCCTGAAGGCCTCCTTCTTCAGTCGGACGGCTTCCCTGACCACCGGTGTCCACCAGGAGGTTCGAGGGTTACCGCCCCTTGAGTCACCTAGGACCTTGAGACCACAGCTCCCCGCCGCGGCTTCGGCAATAGAGGCTTTGAACACCGACCACTCTGGTTCAATGTCCCCAACCTCCACAGGAATGCCCGAAAAGCTCCGCCGGAGGTGTGAGTTGAAGGCCTCCGGAACTTGGGCCTCCTCCAGATGTTCCCAGTTCACCCGAACTACACGTTTGGGCTTACCAGGTCTATCCAGAGGCTTCCCCCGCCACTCGACCCAACTCACCACCAGATGGTGATCAGTTGACAACTCCGCCCCTCTCTTTACCCGAGTGTCCAAAACATACGGCCTCAGGTCCGATGATACGATAACGAAATCGATCATGGACCTTCTGCCTAGGGTGCTCTGGTACCACGTACACTTATGAGCATCCTTATGTTCGAACATGGTGTTTGTTATGGCCAATCCATGACTAGCACAGAAGTCCAGTAACAAACCACCACTCCGGTTCAGATCAGGGGGGCCGTTCCTCCCAATCACGCCCCTCCAAGTGTCTCCATCATTGCCCACATGTGCGTTGAAGTCTCCCAGCAAGATTAAAGAGTCCCCTTCAGGAGCCCCATACAGGACTCTTTCCAGGGTCTCCAAGAAGGCCGTATACTCTGAACTGCTGTTGGTGCATAAGCACACACAACAGTCAGAGTTTTCCCCCCCATAACCCGCAGGCGTAGGGAGGTGACCCTCTCGTCCACTGGGGTAAACTCCAACAACGAAGCACCTAACCGGGGACTTGTGAGTATCCCCACACCCGCCCGGCGCCTCACACCTTGAGGAACTCCGGAGAAGAATAGAGTCCAACCCCTATCCAGAAGTAAGGTTCCAGAGCCGACGCTGTGTGTAGAGGTGAGCCCAACCAGATCCAACTGGTAACGCTCCACCTCCCGCACAAGCTCCGGCTCCTTCCCCCCCAGAGAGGTGACGTTCCACGTCCCCAAAGCCAGCTTCTGTCGCCCGGGTCTGGTCCGTCGAGACCCTCCGCTTTCACTGCCACCCTTCTGGCAGCGCACCCGACCCCATCGCTGTTTCCCGTAGGTGGTGGGCCCGCGGGACGGAGAAGCGGAGGTGTTGCCCATGTTGCCTTTTCGGGCTGGGCCCGGCCGGGCTCCGTGGCAAGCCCACCGGCCGGGCTCCGTGGCAAGCCCAGCCACCAGACGCTCGCCGACAAGTCCTCCTTCTGGGCCTGGCTCCAGAAGGGGACCCCGGGCTTCCTCCGGGCCGGGTATCCTCACTTCTTGTGTCGTCTTTCATGAGGTCTTTTGAACCAATCTTAGTCTGGCCCCTTGCCTGAGACCAATTTGCCATGGGAGACCCTACCAGGAACACAAGGTTCCAGACAACACAGCACAGACACAGACAACACAGTTCATCAGGGCACACAAACCTCTCTACCACGGTAAGGTGCTGGTTCTTCAGAGAGGTAAAGTAAATACATTATAAGGTTATTTTGGTTTATAAAGGGATAGGAGTTCAACTTTAAAAATTGCTCAGGATCATTCTAAGAAGAGTGAGAGGGCTAATGAGCCAGCACCATACCTCCTCCATGCATTTTCTTGACCTGTATCTGATCTTGAAAAACTCTGGTAAGTACTTTTTATTTTATTTTATAATATCATGTAATTATTTAATGCTGCTTGGTGTGTGTTAAACAACCTCTGTGCATCTGTTGTATTTTATTTTGTAACAGCAGTATGGCTCGTAATGATTTAGAAGCTTTGGGAAAAGTACCCCTCTATGTACAAATAATGTGGTGTAGATTTGTAATCACATTTTTTTGTTTTTTGTTGTGTGTGTCTCAGTTCAGGAAAGTCTGAACCAAATACGAATTGGAATATTAGAGAGGATTAACTCTTTTGGTGGAACCCCATATGATTCATTCCCTGTGGAAAGTGAGTATATATGTATTTAAAACTGTATGTGTTTGTATCTAGCTTATTTTTTAAATCAAATATGTTTTTATTTTTTTTTTGCTGATGTGTAAAATATCTAAAATAACGTTTTATATACTTACTCTCTTGTTAAAAGGTGATGAAGTTTGCAGTGTAAGCCAGCCATCAGTGTACCAAAACCTCCCCACTCTGGAGTTTACACACAGCATACCTTCTGCGACAAGTGCTGATCTAAGTTTGATCTTCAGTGATCCTCTCACACACCATCCCTCAGAGAGCCAGACAGACTCGTCCCCCTGTAACGCCCCCCTTCAACAGGTCTGATGCTAACCCCCAACACAACTAAGGAACTCGTTTTCTTTTAATGGCCTAGGCAGATTTTGGCTTTTTTATCTTGCCAAGATACTTTTAGAAACACTTTGAGGTATGCAAAACCTTAAAACTAGAAATGAAGTACACTGTCTGATTAGATTTTTTCTTAAAGACTGTTTCTCTAAAAGGCAAGTTTGTGATTTTAACACTTTTTACTGACACTCGGCAGATTTGTGTGTCAATCACTTTGTAACAAATGTATTTTCTTAAAGACTGTGACTCTAAAAAGGCACGTTTTGTGATTTTAACACTTTTGTACTGGCACTATGCAGATTTTGTTTTTTCTCTCGTTGTTTTTCTCTTCCTTGTGGATACAGTTTTACGTTGGTCAACTTTATAACTGGTAGAAAGTTAAGTGCTTTTTCTGAACACATTTTCTTAAAGAATCAAACTCTAAATGGAAAGTTTGTGATTTTAACACTTATTTACTGACACTAGGCAGATTTTGGCTTTTTTCTCTTTTCTTGTGTTACTAAGATACTTTTAGATACACTTTGATGTATGCAACACTTAACAACTGGTAGAATATGAAGTAATTTGTAAGGAATTCAGTTTTCTTTTAATGGCCTAGGCAGATTTTGGCTTTTTTCTCTTGCCAAGATACTTTTGGACACACTTTGAGGTATGCAAAACCTTAAAACTCGAAATGAAGTACATTGTATGATTAGATTTTTTCATAAAGACTGTTTCTCTAAAAGGTAAGTTTGTGATTTTAACACATTTTTATTGACACTCGGCAGATTTGTATGTAATTCTCTCACAAAGGAACTGTAAGATACACTTTTTTATGTATGCAAAACCTTAAACATTTTTTAAACCAAGATACTTTTGTGATACACTTTTATGTAGGAGCATTGTACAACTGGTAGAATGTCAATCACTTTGTAACATTTTATTTTCTTAAAGACTGTGACTCTAAATGTGAGGAATTGCGGTATCTCCTTCTCCTTTTTTCTGTTTGTTTGTCTATCTGTTTGTCTGTCTTCCTGGCTGGGCGTGGTTGACCTATTTTCCGTTTTCCGCCAACTCACCTCCGCTCCTGTTTCTCATCGTCAACTGATTACTGATCATCAGACTTCGCCAGTTCTTCGTATACTCACAGTGGTAAACTCCAGTTCCGGCTGACTAGAATTTCTAGTTCTTTTGTATACTCTTCCTGTTGGATTTTTTCGTATGCTAATCCTGTTCTGTTTTTTGCCTGTTCCAGAAACTCCACATTCCATTCTGTCCTGCCTGCCACGTCCAGCCCAACCTCCATCTCAGCCCTGCTCCAAGTTCTCCCCACTCTGTTCAGAGTTTGCTTTGTCCCCTGCCTGGTTTTTGTGGACTTATTAAATCCAGTCTTTTTGACACTTCACCTAAGTCTCCGTCCCAGTGTTCTTGCATAGCGGGTTCAAGTTTTGTGTCTCTTTAGGAGCTTAACAGAAGAACTGGCCAAAAATGAACCCCGCATGATCCGGAGCGGATTCTACCCCAATCCTTCATCCCCTGTCAAGTCAGGGTTCCATGGCTCATCATGTCTCCGAGTTGGCGTGCCAGATCTCCGCTCTCACTACCTCGACGGTAGCATCTCAGGCCACTCCCAGTCCAGCTCCTTTGCCCTCTCCTCGCCAGGATTTTCCTATCACTGATCCTGAGCCATTTCACGGAGATGTGGAGAAATGCAGAGGTTTTTTGTTTCAATGTAACAAGGTTTTTCGCCAGCGTCCTGTTGCATTTGCTGCTGAAGCAATGAGGATCAATTTTGTTTTGGGGTTGCTCCGCGGTAGAGCTTTAACCTGGGCAGAGGCTTTAAACTCTTCGGTGGATTTTGACACTCTACGTTTTGAGAGCTTCTCTGATCGGTTCTCAGCTGTTTTTGTTCATCCCAACTCCTCTGGCTCCGCCGAGAATAAGCTGCTTAGCCTGCAACAAGGAAGCCGGACAGTGGCTGATTACTCCATTGAGTTTCACACACTCGCTGCAGAGGCTCGATGGGACGAGGCGGCTCTCAAGGCGGTGTTTTTGAGAGGATTAAGGGACCAGCTTCGGGACGAATTGGCAGCACGAGACGTTCCAGCGGATCTCTCAAAGCTGATTTCCTTAGTGTCTCGTTTGGACGGTCGTCTGCGGGAGCGCCGAGCTGAGCGGACACGGAGGGATTCACCAGCCTCACTCAGTAAGCCCAGTTTTTCCTCCTACTCTGCTCACTCAGTGTCTAGACCTCCCTCTTTCCCCCCGTCGTCCAACGTGCGCACCTCTTCTAAGGAGGAGCCCATGCAACTGGGTCGTGCTAGACTTTCTCCGGAGGAGCGTTAGCGCCGGATAGGTGCAGGCCAATGCCTGTATTGTGGAAAAACTGGGCAGAGCATTCCCAACTGCCCAGTACGTCCAAACTGGGAGGCTCGTCAGTGAGATTGGGGTTCCTGACGAGTCCACAGCAATCATCTCTAACCCCATCCTTGAGTCGTTTTCTTATTCCCGCCAAGCTCTGTGTTAGTTCTATGACATTGCCTCTCCAGGCTCTCATTGATTCTGGTGCGGAGGATAGCTTTTTGGACCAGGAGCTAGCTGAACAGCTGGGACTCTGCATGGAGCCTCTAGAGCAGTGGTCCCCAAACTAAGGCCCGCGGGCCGGGTACGGCCCGCCTCCACATTTGGCCCGGCCCCCTGAACAATACCAGAAACGCATTATGATTATTTAAAAAAAAAAAAAAATTCAGTCTGGCCACGTGAATCCTAGACTAGCCCCTGTCAAAATGTTGTGACCTGCTCTATCGAAATCAGTCGCATTGACCCGAAGACACCTTTTGAGTTGTATACACTGTTGGAAAGAGGATATTCCTAGCTTTCTAATGATATCAGGATTGTTTTTGTACTTCAAATATTAAGCGAAATATGTCACATTATATAATGACTGTCACCGAGTCATCATTTTGAGAAAAAGGCCTTCAAAGTTGTCTCTTCTCTGGAATCCATCGATCTGATTGATTATTAGCGGAGCAAATGATCAAAATACTACCGAGGGAAGATATTTTCGTTTGGAGGGGAAGCTCGCGAGTGTGTGTGTATACGTGTGTGTGTGTGTGAGTGTGTGTGCTTGTGTAATTTTGCGTTTGTGTGTATTGTGTTCAGTGGCGACTGGTCATTAGGGGCAGGTGGGGCACAGCCCCACCTAGTGTCAGCAGAAAGTATTAAAAATAATGATTACAAAAAAATGCAAAAAATAAATTAAAAAATATATAAAATATATTTTAAGATCATGTTTAATCATCTGATTCGTCTGTACATTGCTGTTTTAGTCTGTGTTCTTCTAATTAGTGTCTACAGTGTGTGCCTATTGAGCTGTTTAGAGCCATGTGGGACAAAACCCGATCCTGCCCCTCCCTCTCCCTGTTTAAGTCAATGGTGACTGTAAAAACTACACTGCGCATGCTCAGAGTATTGTCCTATTTAATGTGTGTGGCAAAAAAATAATGACCATAGGGGCATAGAGCTGCCATCCCCACCATACGTCATCTCACATCATTCAGAGCTGATTGGCTGTAAGTACGTGTGCCGCGAAAAGTGTGGTGTGTGAAGAGGAGGAGAGAGAGCTGCAGTGAGGCGTCCTACAACCCGGAAATAAACTGCGCATGGCTTCCCTCCACAAAAAAGCAATGATATTTCTCCATAGGATTTTAGAAAATAGCTCCAAATAAGATCTGTGGGAAACAAACCTGTTAGATAAATGCACGTTTTGTTCAGCCGGATAATATCCACATGTCTACCCTACTTTTATAATTTTCGAATCATAAATCTATTGATTAGATCAGATTTATGATAGACTTTTGAAACTACAAGAACATAAGGAGGACTTTTACAAAAAAGTAATAGAGATTTTTGTCCAGAAGGATAGGCAAATGGACTTCATCTTCAAGTCAAGGTAAGACCGCAATTTTACCACCGCCATGAAAATGGGATCTTACTAAGAGAGAACAATTCAATATTTAAATGATACAATTACATTTTTTGGGTATCCTTTTGTTGAACTGTCTGTTTAAAATTAATTGAAGCATCAGACAAAAAAAGCTTTTGAAAATAATATTATATTTTGATTTAGGTCAAAATATAATATTTGTAAACCTGAAGAGTCAGAGCCTCACCAGCCATGAACCTCACTGCAGAAGCTTATATATAGACATCTAAGTTTTTTGTGCCCCACCACTTTTGTACATATAAAAACGCCACTGATTGTGTTTGTTTCCCGGGGAAAACACTCACGAGAAACACCGGCTGTTCTTATGCCTGCCGTTCTCCGCTTGTAATTATGCCGAAGCTTCAAAGTTGTATTTATCATCTGAATTTGCCGAAACAAGTTTAATATTCTGAAAGCCAAGACTTTGTTTAATTGAAATCAGATGAATACAAACTGTAACGGACCCTGCAGTGTTATCTATGATTACTATACTCTTACATTCATAATTTCAGCGGAGTGAGGGGGGGGGGGGGGGGGGCGGCGCTGCGGAAGAGCAGATTGCGAGTGAGAAATAAATAAATTGGAAATAAAAGTTTAATTATGAAAGCCAAGACTTTGTTTGTTTAAAATCAAACAAAACACCCGAACCCCGAAATTTTTATTTTTTTTACGTAAATCCACGTTTATTTTGAGAGATTCTGCTCTGACAACTAAGCTAAACTTTTACCTGTTAAGATTGTGCACGGCACAACAGAAAGTTACAGTAATTTTCAATGGACTTTTTTTCTGTGAAGAACCCAGAGAGGGTTATTTGGTTATTATTTATTTCATAAATAGTGTTATTTATTTCATTAATAGTGTTATTATTTATTTCCTGACTTTTTTTTCCGTGAAGATCCCGGAAAGGGTTATTAATATTTGGTTATGTGTGGCTTTCTAGAAAACAATAAATGTTTACGTTTAGACACCCATGCGATCGTCACACTTTTTCTGTTACAAACTGACCCGGCCCCCATCAGAGAAGGGAAAAGTTATGTGGCCCTCACAGGAAAAAGTTTGGGGACCCCTGCTCTAGAGGAACCGTTAACTGCCTATGCTCTAAATAGACAAATCATCTCCTCAGTCACAGCACAGTCACCCCTTGTGACTTTAATCACCTCCGGAAACCACTGTGAACTTATCCAGTTTAAGGTAATATCCTCTCCTTCCACACCTCTGGTTTTGGGTAAGTTTGTGATTTTAACAATTTTCACTGACACTTGGCAGATTTGTGTGTAATTCTCTCACAAAGGAACTGTAAGATACACTTTTTATGTATGCAAAACCTTAAACATTTTTTGAAAATAAAATACTTTGTCTGAATACATTTTCTTTAAAGGCACTTTTTTTTATTTTAACGCTATTTCAGTGGAACAATCTAGTTTTTAGCAAATGTATTGCTCACTTTGTCGTAGTTGTTAGTTTTTGGTTTTATATCAGGATTAATACGATTGTGTGGAGGAGAAAGAAACACATCTGTCTAGCGCACCGCCATCTTGGAATCGCCATCCAGTATTTTTTAACCAAAATCTGTCCCTTTCTACCAAGATCCAGTCTTTATTAACCCAAATCTGACCCTTTCTACCTAGATAACATCCTTTTTCTACCAAGATACAGTGTTATCTACCAAAACCTTTGCCTTTTTTTTACCCAGATACGGTCTTGTTGTGCCCAGATAGGACCGTCTTTTACCCGGATCAGGTATAATTATACCCAGATACAATCTTTTTCTACCTAAATCTTGCCTTTTCTACCTAGAAAACTTCTGTATCTATGAAGATTTGGTGTCCTCTACCCATTTCCGGTCATCTTCAACCCAAAAATGATCATCTCCTACCAAGATTTTCTCTATCCGGATCCATCCATCTTCTATCTGTCAATACAATATATTTGGATCTTAACTTCTTTTACCTAGATCCGTTCTATTTCTAGTAACCTTAATAAAACATGTCTCAATTTCACGTGTGCAGGTGTGTGTATAAAAGCACACCTCTTTCAGTAATCAGGAGAATACATGGACACAAAGACACACTTGTGTTTCCGAAGCCACTTCAAACAAGCTTCTTGAATATAGATGAGCTCTCTGGTGAACAGCAACACACACGACACACAATTTGCAATTTAAAGGATGCTTTTGTCGTTAGCCATGTGATCTTCCCTTTGATAGGTTGCTTTGTTCTCTCCATCACCCATCCAATCCTTCATATTTGTCAGTCCTTCATGATTAATGTCTCATGAATCTCACTAAATGGATAGAGATGGGTTGCAGATGAAACACAGACGTGAACATAACTGAGGGATTGATGAGCTAACGTTGGGATATCTGGACATTTATCAGGTTTGTTGACTTCGAACATCTCTCTGTTTCTCCCTCTTATGATGTGTTGTCATAATTACTTTACAGCTTGTTGCTATGCTATGTGGTTTCCATGGTGATGCCTAATATGGGATGACCTCGTACTGGATGTCCTTCCTTTTCTGACTGTGGGTCCATCATTGCATTAGTGTGTGCTGCTTAGTGAGTTGATTGTGTGTTTGGCAGTCAGCGTGAGCCTCTGTAATGTAAATGTATGTTTGGTAGCTTGCATTTTTTTTGCATTTATCCATGTATGTTATGAGAGTGTTTGTGTATGTTCAGTTGACGTTTTAGTTTAGTTTTGTAATTTTATGTCGGCATGTCTGTCAGTGGTGAGAATGGAAATTAATTGAGACTTGCTGTGCGCAGGATGACAGGACCAGTGCAGGATTCACACAGGCTTTCTGTGAAAACATGGACAGAGGACGAGAGTGAGCGAGCTGACAGCACACTCAGCAGGTACACACACACACACACACCACACACACACACACACACACACACACACACACACACACACACACACACACACACACACACACACACACACACACACACACACACACACACACACACACACACACACACACACACACACACACACACACACACATTTTTATAGTACCGATATTCGTAAATCGAGTTGTGTGTTAGCTTACTCGTCCTGAACTCAACCCCGGTATCACGGCAAGACGTGAACATGTGACGATTTACCATGCTGAGAGACGTGAATGTGTGACGGTTTCGTCCCTTCAAACGTGACAGTTACACGCAGGGCCGCCCCTCCCTACAGGCCAATCACGCAGGCTGCATGGGGCCCCCCGCCCAGAGGGCCTCAGCTGCTGTGCGCAGCAGTGACGTTTTCTCCTGGAGGCCAAGGGAAGCCAGGCTTCCCCTGTTTTTTTCAGATTGTAGTTATAATTTTAATAAATAAATAAAAATACTTCGTTTAGTTTCGGAAATTCTTGTTGTGTGTTGCTGCCGGCCCGTCTCTCCTCCATTCTCATTGAGTATTTTACAAAGAGTGAAACAGCGCCCCTCTAGATGTTATGGCGAAACAGTAGATTGCACTCTCTGTTGCGAGAGGAGGCCAGACAAAATTGGCTTCCCTGGTGAAACAAAATGGAGGGATTGACCAATCAGACAAGGCTCACGTCATGTCCCTGCCAACCTGTGATTAGTCAGGGCCATGCCAGAGGCTGGCTTCCCTTGCCTCACAATCCAATCAAATCGCATCAGCTTAGTGGTGCAGTGACGCGTCGTATAACCCGGAAGTAAGCTGCGCTCGGTTTCCCTCGCCAAAAAAGCAATGGGATTTCTCCATAGGATTTTGGAAAATAGCTCGAAATAAGGTCAGTGGAAACCGAACCTGATAAATGCACGTTTTTTTCAGTCGGATAATATTCACATGTCTACCCTACTTTTATAATTTTCGAATCATAAATCTAATCGATAGAAGATAGATAGCGCCACTGCACCACTCTCACCGCCGTTAGAAAGTAGCAAGCAACTGAAGCAAGTGCAATTATGTAGGGTGGAGATTTGGAGTATATAATCGAAAAATAATTGTACTAAACTTCCATTACAGCAGCAACAACAAATAAAATCTGATGACAGGCCAATGCCCAAACTGGAGCTGTGTACAGCGAGGAACAAAGGAGCGAATCGGACGTAAAACGTGAAAGGTCTCCTGATTTAGTTTGTGAATGAATGCTTATTAGAGTTTCGGCTGGAGAGTGCGTGCGGACCTGTCGGTTAGATAACAGGCGTGTGTATGTCCTGCATCTGTATGATACAAATGTGTGTAAAATGATACCGGGTGCTGTAATCACTCATCTGGTTACGTTATACATTGACCACCACCCCCCCCCGACCCAAAAGAAAGGACGTATTATTGGCTTCCCCTAATTTTTTTCCCACGCCACGCTACTGGTGCGCAGTTCTCCGCTCAGTTCTCCGTGCACCCCCCGCGAGAGTGGGAGGTTACAAGGGGAGCACGTCTGTAACCCGACACCGTTGCAATGAATCGACATCTGACCAATCACGGCTTTGATACGGCCACTAGTGCAGGTGAAGAGATGTCGGTGAAAAGACAGTTTCAGTCCGGCGCAAGCAAGAGGGAAAAAAAACAAACATGAAGAAACTAGAGCATCACTCAAAGGTGGGTTATTGTATGAGTCAAATGTACAACTTGCGAATGTTGTATAAGTCAAATTGCCAATTGCCATATTAAAACATCAGCTGCAATTCACGACATGAATAAGGCAGTGTCTGCATAGCATTATAGGCTAATGGAGATGCAGTTATTTCCAGCATTCTTTATTTACCATTCATTCAAGCAGTGGCGGTTCTAGACCAATTTGACTGGGGGGGCCAGTTATTTTCTGAGGGGGGCACAATAAATGCAGGATGAAAAAGAGAACTAGACAGTATGAAGTAATTGCGCATAAGAAAACAATGCAATACAGTTATTGGTATTTGTTTCAGTACACTTATTTATTTCAGATAGATCTTATAGTTATTACTGTTAGCTTCAGCTTAAGTTATAGTGCAATGTTTGCACTCACACCATATGTATATAAAAATAAAGGCAATGAACAGTTACATCTCTACTTTACATAAGGGTGTCTGCACAATATCACATTACAGCAACAAAATCCTGCGGTTTTTGGCAAACCGAGTACCAGAAAATATACAATTAAATTTTTTTTTAAAAATAAAAGTTTTCATTGTTAGGGGGGCCACAGGGGGGTCAGAGGTCAGTGTTAGGGAGGCACTGGCCCCCCTAGAACCACCCCTGCATTCAAGTATGTTATGCCTTGTATCTGCTAATGTACAGGAGGAAGAGTAATACACTGTCTGTCTAGTTGGCTTACATAACAGTCAAAGTTTACAGCCTAAAAAACATGGAGCATTTTTCCCCCTTTTATTCATTTTTATGTCAATTTGCACATTTCATGGTGATGCTCAGCCTCTCCCCTTAACTCCTAACAGTCATCATCATGTCAACCACAACACAGAGAAATACTGATAGAAATGTGTGTGTAGTTGTTGATACATTGCTGACAGAGGGAACTAAATTTGAATACAGATTTAAGAAATATCAGTTTTTGAGCATGTCATAAGCATGTTTTGTCTTGACTATATTACAACTATATTATAATAAAATAATATAGTATTTATATTATTGAATTGATTATGATTATTATTATTAGTAGAAGTAGTTTATTTGCATCAATTATATTTTAATCTTTTTGAGGCTAGTATTTGGCAGGAAATGCAGACGTATTCACCTGTAAACGCATACTGAACGACATACATGCACATTCACCATTTACCTCACTGTATAAAAAAGTAACTGTGTTGATAATAATAATAAACAGGAATTATATTTGCAAAGTAGCCTACTTTGTTTAAAAAAAAATGTGTTTCACTCCTGTCGGTTGGGGGGGGGCCTCATCTCACAATGTCGCTTGGGGCCCCAAATTGGCCAGGGGCGGCCCTGGTTACACGGTATTGTTAACATGGTCCAACCAGTGGATAAATACCCGGAAGTGCCATTATTATCAAAATTAGATGTTTTTAATTTCTTTTTTAATCCTCACACTCGATTTCGCCGATTTTCTTGTGGCCCTATCTGGTCAACACCTCTTTTAGCAGAAACAAAGGCTACATTAATGTATTACATCGATGTTAATCCCCTTCAAATGTGACAGTTACACGGTATTGTTAACATGGAGAAATACCCGGAAGTGCCAAGCAAATGGTCTACCGCACCTATTGGTCGGTTTTTATTGTCAAAATTAGATGTTTTTAATTGATTTTGTAATCGTCACACTCGATTTTGCCGATTTTGTTGTGGCCCTAGCTGGTCGACACCTCTTTTAGCAGAAACAAAGGCTACATTAATGTATTACATCGATGTTAATCCATTTGTGTTGTTGTGGAAATACCGGACGTGACGTTGTGTGATCACTTAGCTACTGAACTCCGGTTGCGGTCGGTTAATCCGAAAATCAGCTCCTAACGTCCAACCCTATCGTCTATTCCTTTACCTCTGAGTGAAACGTCACAGGGTTAAAGGATAGTGGATAGGAGAATTCTAAAGGACATGGGCTGAAGTCGAATAGTCCATTTAGCTTAGGAACCTTCCTAACGGAGTGAAATGACCCGGAAGTCCCTCAGTGGCAGCCATGATAAGTGCCGTTTGAATTCTCTAGATCAGTGCTTCTCAAACTTTTTTCAGTCATGTACCCCCTTTGAAACATTTTCTCAGCCAAGTACCCCCTGACCGACCCCGAAAATGTTTGATTGAAAAAGCCTATACAAATCATTCCAATATAGTGATGTTCCCTCAGTGTGTGATTTACTAACTCCTTTACAACAAACTAAGGATATTTTCATTTTATGCATGAAAAAAGAAAACAAATTTAAACTGATTTTTCAAAGGAGTTTTTCAACTGAAGTAATACATTAATTGGTTTAACAAACCAATGAACAAAATGATATATTATGCAAAACTATAAAATACAATACACCAATTTGACATGTTTATATGTGGTTCTAGGAATATTTTATATAAAATTGTGTTTTCTATTTAACTTATTGTACTAAGATTATTTTTGTAATCATGCATGGTATTTTTTTTGAGGAGCTTGACGCTCGTCAACTATCAGCAGGAGGGCGGGGGAGCCTCGCTGCGGGGAAGCAGTGTGTGGACCTGTCAGCGCAACTTACATGATGCCGAATTTAACAAACACATTTAAATAATTGGTTTAAACGGCATAATAATAAGGACGATCGTCCGTTCTGTGATTCTCCAGAGCACACGTTATGATATTAGAATATGGAGGGATGAAACCCTCTTGAAACCGCAGGTCCTTCCTTCCTGCAGCGGTCAGACTTTACAACCAGCACTGCCCCTAGTAGACCCTCACACACACCACAAGACAGACTATAACACCCCTTGCTGCTAAATACAAACCAACTTTGTGCAATATGTGCTATATGTGCAATATATATATATGCCATTAATAACTGTCTAATTTATTCCTGGCCACTAAATCAATATATATGCCGTTTTGTTTTTTATCTGTATTTTTGAAAATTATGTAACTTTTGATCTTTTTTTGTAGCATATTGTTTATTATATTATAGCTTAGTACTTTTTTAGCATATTGTTTATTTTATTATAACTTAGTACTTTTTTAACGCATGTAAGATATGCAACACTAAGCTGTCTGTGGCTCTTTCCTGCTGTAACGCTGCACATTTCTCCTCTGTGGAACTAATAAAGGTATTCTGATTCTTTAATGGTCACACATGCAGAGCACACAGCACACACAGTGACATTTGTATCTACAGATAAATATTAAGCCTGACAAAGTACTTAACGTCTAATATATTGCTTTCCTGCAATGTTAACTATGTTTAAGCACTTATTTGTTTATTATTTGTTT